TATAAACAGTTAACTGTTAGGGTACGCGACGTTGGATTTCTGTACAGTCGTGCACGAAAATTGTTACCAATTTAAATAACAAGATAATAAGGTGCAAAAAGTTCCTTACTAATTATTTTTTAAAATATCAGCCTGATAAATATTAAGGAAGAATGTATATGATGACATCATGAATCTTAAAGAAAAAGATAGCTAAGCCAAAGTATAGGTAATCCATTGGTGTTTATTAAATGGATACCGAACAAAAATGACCTCTATAACAAAAGATTTAAGATCTACTTTTCGTTACGCAATTATGTATTAAATCAATCAATCTAATGCAGTAAAAATTTTATGCACAATTTATTAAAATGATACATCATGAATTTTCAACCTGACTGTACTCATTGTAAGTCAGGGCTCAAAGCGATACGAAAAAGGTATACAGTCCAGGATTAAAACTCGAAATCACCCCATTAGCATTTAATTTTACAAATGAATCTTTAATTCCCCGCTTCTAAAATGCTAGCAGCCAAAACTTTTATGAGAAGATAAATAGATTTAATGTTATTTTTTAGTCTACAGAGGTCATAACCTCCTTCTTCAAAGCTTTTTAATCATAATTTAAATTATGATTTTATGAGTAAAACAAGCTGATAAGAACACGGTTATATAACAGATAGGAAATGTGAGATTATTAAATAAAAAAAGCGAAATTATAATATGCACAAATTAAACTTGTAATTAATACAGTTAGAGAAAAGGTGGGGCCGAGGCGTTTGACAAGATGGAGCATGGTCCCAACGCCCAAACGTAACGAGATTGTAGCGTCGGCATCTCAAAGTGTAACCGAATTAAGTGTTCCTTTTCACGGGAGAAAGCCAAGTGCAAAATAATGCCGGAGCTTAACACAATAAAAGCTTCCCGACGGGTGTGCCGCAGGGTGCGCGTCTATGCCCTCATTACAACGGCACATCTTTTTGACAGTTTCTTTTCGTGTTAAATTGGATCAACGTTTCATTGTTCAACGCTCGTACGTTATGGTAATCGTAGGAAATCTAAATCGTGAGTTTTCGACTTAAACTTGACTGTGTTTTTATTTGCATTGTCTTCAATGAGGATTTATTGAATTACTTTTCACCTTAGTCGATGTAAGAAAGTTTTTGAACATGTTTGAATTTGATGCGAATTACGTAAAATGAGATTGCCTTATATATTTTTGACGGCTATTAGAATTACATTGTAACTAGCTGTCGCCCGGGACTCCGTACGCGTGGAAAATATAATATAATCGCTTTTTAATTGGGCATACGTACATATAGAACATAGTCTGAAAGAACCCATACGCTACACTAATTAAGTTTTTTTGTATATCCACGCGGACGGAGTCGCGGGCGACAGCTAGTTTATAACATTAGTAAGATAGCATTATAAAGTAATTCTTTACAGTGAATTTTTGATCATCGGAAAATTTATGTTTCCTATATCTTTGTTTGCTGCTTAGTTTCTAGCTTTGATATTAGTAGGCTAACGATTTAATTCCTTCGAATCTTTGCATATTCGTTAATTGGTTTTGTTCCAACTATGAGCCTTTCACATTGTGGACATCAGTAGAATCGCTAATGACATTGTTATAACAGATTTAAATACGATTGCGGTTAAACATTATGGGGTTGAAGTGATTTGAATGTGATGCTAGAACGCCCACGGCATTCAGCTTTGTAGTTTTTGTTATAACAAGCGGTGAGGACGTACGACGTGCGGTCGTTAGTGTGGGAGGTGTGACTTATTAGAATCGGCTTAAGGCATTTTGCATTAATGAAGCTGGTTTTATTTTGCATTGTTGCAAATTTTATCATAGAAATCAAAGATAAAGTATCACTATTGCTGCAAAAGTTAATTTGTCAACTGCAGTTGAAAACTGCTTATTTACTGGTACAGTCCAGGCAATCCTTGTTTTATTAAGCAAATATCATGGTATAAAATAATAATAAGTACCTATAAGAAGGGCATCTTATTAGGAGAGGATTTATAATCACAACCAAGAGCTACGAAACATGCAGTAATTACTAAAGACATTTTTAACAAAATATCAGAGCTATGGTCCTTACAAACTTCGGTAAGAAGCTATAAGTTATGTTTCATTTGTATTTGTGAATGTTTAGGATATCAATTTTAAAGTAGCTCTATATTAAGTACTAGCTGTGGCCCTCGAATCCGTCCGTGCGAAATTAAAAAAAATACTTAATTAGTAGCCTATGTGTTCTTCCAATGTTCTACATCTATGCCAAATTTAAGCAGGATCCGTTAAGTCGTTCCGGAGATACCTTCAAACAAACTGTCGAAACATTCGTATTTATTTTATTAGAAAGATAAGAAAATTTCTAATGACAAAATAAAAGCTTTTTATCTATTTTCTTGGTTACAAAATTGATTTTAAAACAGACCAATTAGTTAGCAAGAAATGTCTCTCACTCTTTTAGTAATCATAACAAAATGTTACTAATAGTTGTTGGTTGGAAGGGTTTAAAGCGTGGCGGAGTAAAAAAACTAGTCGTAGCACGCGCCGCCACGTGCCCGCAAACCGCTCCGTATACAAATGAAGGCTTACAGAACCCTACAAATATTTTCCATTTAATTTTTTAACTCGTGCATACATTTGTTAGTTTTGTGCATAACGTCTTTCACTAGATCAGGCATGATGGAATAATTTAAACGGACCAAAAGATATGAAAGTTTGGTTAAATACAGTTAAAAAAAAGTTAAGTACAAATTCTCCTGTCTTATTAGCTACGAGCTCACGCGACTTCGTCAGCGTGAAATACTTGCTTTAAGCTGCGCGCGGTACTGGACGATTCTTGGACTTTGCAACATTGCTATATTTTTCTAAAATAAAATGTTTTTTTCAAAAATAAACGTATTCCATGTTACTCCTTATTAAATAAGCAATCTGCCAATAAAAGTCCCGTCAGAATCGGTCCAGCCATTATAAAGATTAGCCAGAACAAACAGACAGACAAAAATTGTAAAAAAAAAGTTTATTTTGGTGTACCGCATAATATAACAATATCTGGATGACCGAGCTTAGCTCGGTATTTTTTGGAAATTATATAATATTTAAGTACGAATTACTAATAAAATGATGAAATATGAATAATATTTTTCGATCTTACCGATAGAAAAAGTTAAGTTTATGTTTAAGTTGATTATCGATAAAACACGAATAAAATGTCATTTTCTAAAAATGATTCCTAGCTAGATCGATTTATCGCCCCGGAAACCCCCTATATACTAAATTTTATGAAAATCGTTAGAGCCGATTCCGAGATTCCAAATATATATATACAAGAATTGCTCATTTAAAGATACAAGATATACGTGTAGTAAAAAATGGTTATTATTACAAACAGACACTCTTATTTTATTTATATGTATAGATGTATAAATTATAAGATCATATATTTAGAGTTTTATCCAGAAATATAATATAAAAGTATAATATTTTTAGATACGACAGAAATTTAATTTAAATATCCAACGAATTCGTTACATTCATTCGTTTCAACTTATTTGGTGCAAATCGTACCAACCGCTAAGTTGCGTGCTTTCACCAACACTTATTAAGTACAAAGCTATTATTAAGTAACCCTTTTCGCTTGGGGCTATCTTTATTAGAGCTTATGTGGCATGTTCCCATTGTTAATATATATTAGTGTCACATTATTTGTATTATTAGTGTGAGAGGAAAAAGGGTTTAAAGTTCTAATTGTGATTTAGCCGCGGTTCAGTGTGTCCCCGCTAATTTTTATCTAAGAGAGTCAAAGGAAATTTTTTTTATTGTTTTTTACCTCAAGAGATTCAGAAACGATAAATGAAAAAGTAAACTCTTTCTTTCAGTAAATGTTACTAATATTATAAATGAGAATATTTAGATGTACTTTTTTTATAACAGAAGGGGGCAAACGAGCAGCGGGAACGCCGAGGTGATCAACGACGCTCATGGACATCAGCAATACCAGAGGAACCGCAGATGCGTTGCCGTACTTATGTTTGTTTGAAGTTATCTCCGGAACGGCTCAACGGATTTTGATGAAATTTGGCATAGATATAGAACATAGTATGGAAAACACATAGGCTCATTATGTTATTTTTTAACTCCACGCGAACGAAGTCGCGAGCAACATTTAGTAGAGTCATATAAAAAGTGGATCTTCTTCCTTAGATTCCGAATCGAATGACAAACAGCATTTTGATTTTGTTGGCCTAATGTAAAAATTATGACCATTTATTTAAAAAAAAATGTTTCAATATTTACGCAATCATCAAGTTGATGTCATACTCATCATCAGCTCACTATACGTCCCCACCGAAGGGCTTGGAGCCTACCCTAAGTTAAGGTGATTAGGCCATAGTCAACCACGCTGACCAAGTGCGGGTTGATTGACTTCACACATATCTTTGAATTTCTTCTCAGATATGTGCAGGTTGCATCACGATGTTTTCCTTCATCGTAAGAACGTCGGATAAATGTACATATGTCAAACTATAACGATTTAATTCTCTTGTACTTATCTAATTACTTTTATTCTATTGTATTATTAACTTATATTTCCTTTATTGAATTCAGCTAAATCAAATTAAACTGTATTGTGTAACAATAGAGTTTATTTTCGCATGTACAATAATTACAAAGGGTCCATCGACTTGTCTGTCCTAATGTTGTGACGCCTAATTGCGTCCCTGCTTGTATGTGACGGCTAGAGCGTTGCACGGATTTGTTCCAATGTTATCGGATTCTGACATGTTTTGATTTGTTTATGATGTTTTATTATTAGAGTTTAGTGTGGGAAAGTAATTGTCGATTTTATTATTAACTAGCTATCGCCCGTACCTCTGTCCGCGTTAAATTAAAAACAATTCAGTAACCCATGTGTTCTTCACACTATGCTCTGTATGTATGCCAAATGTCTTATAGATCCGTTCAGCCGTTTTGGAAATACCTTCAAACAAACAAACGTCCATTCATCTAAACATTTGCATTCGTACATTCGTATGATGTGAAAAAATGCCAGAGAGATATTGTTAAGAGTTAAGCAAAGAGTTTTAATACAAAGAAGAATATATTCAAAATTCGAACTTTTTATATTTTAAAAAATTTTAATTCCTTGTCAATTATTTTTCCTTTGAAAAATGCATCGGAAGGGTGAAAGAAGTGTTTTAAATTTTTAGTTATTTTATTAAACCTTCGAATATTCAGTCCCAATTCATATAATAAGGTTTAGAGAGCTTTTCTGAACATAGAAGATTATTTTAGGTCAAGGTGAACAAATTGCTTTAGGTCACTGCTATTCATAAGTAACTATTTTCCTACTTAGTAAATAAAGGCGAGTGCTAACAGAAAAATAATTCCTCTTTCTTAATAGGCATAGGATGAGACAGAGGAGGAAAAACTCCGCCAAAAACTCTTTTCTATAGTTTCCTTATAACAATAAGAATGAACAGGGAAAGGCGATTAGTCATATGTGGCAGAGTTTTTTTGACATCAGTCAACGAAATCCACTTCTCTCGTGTAGTTATGGTATTGGTTGAGTTGGCTATTCGTGTAGGTAATATTGCAAACTCTACCAATGTTATTTAATTGTTAACTTACCATCTTTATTCATTCCCATGGCGAGACATTTCTTGAGACGACAGGCCTGGCATTGATTCCTGTGCGCCTTGTCGACCACACAACGCCCCGTGCCCGCCTGACATCTGAATAAAAAAGTATAATATGAACACAATTAAATATGAAATAGTATCTATTGTCAGTGAGTAAGTTTTTAGATGACAGTGGCAATACAGAAATCATGCGGCAACACCTGTAAGTTGAAATGAACGGGTAAGATATTTTCTATGGAGAGGACTTTTACTCTTGGAGCAATGATGGCAGATTTGGCGGAACAAAATAGATATTCGTAGTTAAACAATCCATAAAAAGATTCTGAGGGCTCTATCCTAATTCTATAGAAAGAAATACTTTTTGCTATAGACTTTAGAAGTAAACAATATCCTTCAAATGTAATATTTTTAGTGTAAAAGATTGCAAACGAGCAAGCGGACATTTGAATTCACTAAATCGGGAAGTAACCGTTAACTTAATCGACGGACGAGAAGATTCAAAGAAAGATAATGATAAGAGAAGGACCTACTACTATAATAATCTTGGATGATAAAATAAGCTACCAACCCGCACTGGGACAGCGTGGTTGACTATGGCCTAGTAACCCTTGATTTTGGGCAGGCTCCGAACCCCTCGGTGGGGACGTATAGTGAGCTGATGAGCGATGAAATAAAATTATGATGACATAATATCTTCTATCAAAATCAAATCAAATGAACCGAGAACCTTCCCCTTTTTGTAGCACGTTAAAATAACGACTATAAAGAAACTAAAAGAGTCTTTAAGCAACTTTCGTCCATACCACTCGTAACCGTGTCCACTAAAGAAACTTCAGTTAGAACATGTCAAGAATGTGATATATGTTACTAATATTATAAATGCGAATGTTTGGATGGATGGATGTTTGGTTGAAGATATCTCTGGTTGAAGGTAAGGCTTAATGACATTTGGCATACATATAGAACATAGTCTGGAAGACCATATAGGCACTTTTTTTTTAATTCGGATGGTGTTGCGGGTAACAGCTAGTTTTAATATAAGTGTATCAACAGTAGAAACTCACAAGCTATATATAAGTGAAAGCAATCTAAAATCCCCTTCGGAAGAAGGAAAATGTATCCAATCAAAGCGAAACCGCTACTGAATACCAACAAAAATGTGGGCACAGAAACTAATACAGATTAAAGATATTTCATTACAAGTAATCCCTCATATAATAGGCTTTGGTCGAGAGGTTGACATTTGTTGGAATACATTCTGTAGGGAGCATTCAAACTGTGAAGAGTGGACCCAAACATCACCCTTGTAGGAACATATATTTGTTGGTATTTTATTTGAAATTTTGGTGAATATTAAACATAATATATTAACAGTTGTCTTTTGTTATTTTTCTGTACAACTTTTTAAGGAATTAATAGCAATAATAAATAGTTTTATTTAATCAATACTAGCTGTGCCCGCGACTTCGTACGCGTGAAGTGTTTGAGATGCGCGCGGTACAGGACAGTATTTAGACATTGCATTTCTAAAAAACGTAGCCTAAGTTACTCCTTATTAAATCAGCTACATGCCAATAAAAGTCAAAATCGATCCAGCCATTTCAGAGATAACCGGAACAAACAGACAGACAAAAATTATAAAAAATGTTATTTTGGTATATGAACTGTATTCATATACATTTAATAAAAACGGTTAATTCAATATTACAAACAGACACTCCAATTTCATTTATATGTATAGATTTGGACCTTACATTTTGAATTTGCTACGTTTGACAGTTAAATTGACGCAAAATAAAGATACAAAAATGCGAAATTGGATGAAAATATCATAAACTTTTTACTATTTTCATATCCATATTTTTAAATTCGTTTTTTAATATTAGTATTTAAAACATAACAATATAAAATATTCATAATTTACTCTTTCATAATTAAATTAAAAATATTCAGTTCAATTTATCTGATAACATTATTGATAAAAAGGGACATTGAAAAATCAATTTGGCATAAAGTGGTGTACACATGTTACCCCATCCATCATAAGGGTGCGTGTACAATGTTAATAGAATTACGCGGGTGCCGGATTAATTGTAGGCGCCTCTTTAGGGCTGTAAGGGCCAAATGTTAAACTGTTTTTAATATAATCTTTCACAATTTTACCAGCGATTTTTTGGATAACACAAAGGACCTACATATGTTGCTTTATTTTTCCAAAATGATTTTAATATATGACTGTGACACTCAGAGACTGTAAAGCCACATTTAAGGATTGCTTAAGTAACGATTAGACAACAATTAAGAAGACGTAATCTTACTGATGAAAGATGTTTGAAGGATGTTTGTTTGTATCTCCAGAACGATTGAGCTGATCTTGATGAAATTTGGCATACATATAGAACATAGTCTGGAAGAACACATAGGCTACTAATTATGTTTTTTTTATTCCGTGCGGACGGAGTATGACAGCTAGTAAAAATAACATTAAAATTTGAAGCGAAAAATTTTTCCACTAATAGAATAGAGAAATTTAATAGGTTTTTAAGCTCGAATTCAAACGTTTTTCACTTTAATTCAAGTCATAATATCAGACTGCATATTCTTACGTTTATAAAAAATAATATTATAATAAGTTCAATAAATATAAACGATATACAGTGAGGAGCGAAGGAAGCACTCGCTGTAAAAACGCAAATGAATTTCGCATTGCATTTAAATATGCCACAATCGGGGGCGTCTTTAGATTGCGACTTACTTATAAGCTGTAGCGATTAGCGGGTATGAACACGTACAGATTTTCGCTACATAAGTGTAAATTTCACTTGCGTGATGATTCCATAGTTTGGTTTAAGTTTATAATGAAATATCTATATTTTAACTTGCCTAAATGTATGTCTTAATAGTATTCTTCTACAAACTATATTACCAAATATATAACGATGTTATAAATTGTTGTTTTTTCACGTGGTAACGTGTTTTAAATTAATAAAATGCACGACTCATTTTCACGTTCCGTCTGCCGTGCGTGCAAGCAAGCGTTGAACAAGCAATAGATAGGCATAATCGGCCTAAACATTATTACACAAAACATAGTCCAGAAGAACACATAGGCCCTTAATTATAATATTTTTTTTAATTCCGCGCGTTCGTTGTCGCGGGCCGTTTGTTTATGTACCAATGTGTTTCTCGATTTCCGATTTACATATGTACATTTATCCTACGTTCTTACGGTAAAGGTAAACATCGTGATGCAACCTGCACATATCTGAGAAGAAATTCAAAGATATGTGTGAAGTCAACCAACCCGGATTCGGCCAGCGTGGTTGACCATGGCCTAATTACCCTTAACTTAAGGTAGGCTCCAAGCCCCTCGGTGGGGACGTATAGTGAGCTGATGATGATGATGGTGTCGCGGTCGGTCACTTGTGTTGTTTTAAGAGTTAAATCGCTTTCCGCTTCGCGTATGCTCTACAGTCGCAGTCCACCCCGGTCACAGATGCAAGAAGAATTAGGAATATGCTCGCAGCATGGATTAAGTGGGTTCAAGTGTTATCAGCTCGCCCTATTGTCATTTTTGTGTTGCCGCAGATGTGACTTGTACCGTCTACTACGCTACAGTTTTTGATAGGGATTTTGTTGGATTTACTTTTTTTTTGTACCGCCGAGGGGATGTTTGATTGTTATTTAATATTAATATTCTTTTGAATATTTTTATACACAATTTAAAACAAACTGTTTTGTTTGTTATGGATACCTACGGATGATGGTGTATTACTTGACTAGGTAAGAAATAGAAATAGAAACAAACAGAATTATGATCCACGTTTTATTGAATGTGAAGTGTCATTTGCTACTAATCTTTGTGCTATTGGCGATTAAAATGAAAGTAAGGAAATGATTCAAATGTCTGGAAATTATTAACTACTAGCTTTTGCCCAGCGATGGCTACGGAATTAAAAGAAACTTAATTAGTAGCCTATGTGTTCTTCATGTCTATGGTCTACATCTATAATAAATTTCATTGAGATCCATACAGCCGTTCTTATTTCTTTTTTATATCATAAGGTGGCAAACGAGCGAACGGCCACCTGAAATCGTTGAAATAGAAGCGACCATTGCCCATAGACACACGCAATTGCATATGCTTTGCCTACCTTTAATCGACGGAGGAGAGGATGTACAGAAAGAAAATATTTTCCCTTCCCATGCATCCTCCCATCCGAAAAGTCCACTTACACTTTCCATCCTTTCGTTATAAGAAAGAGGCTGGGAAGGGAAAGAGGACTAAATTAGGCCTCCGTGACACACACTCATCAGACGAAACGCGGAATTGCTTCCACTTGACGCCTGTCTTTTGTGTGGTCGTGGTATTTCACCGGGCGAGCCGGGCCAATTCGTGCAAAGATGTTAAAGCGCCCGCTTTAACATCTTTGCACTTTGCATCTGTAGAGCCCTCTACCACTGTTAAATAATGTCTAAATAAATGACTGGAGATACCTTCAAAGAAACATCCATTCAAAAATTCGCGTTTATTATATTGGTAAGATTTGAAACTTTTAAGTGATAATGTTTGCTTATTTGACATCTACTTCAACTTCATGTTACTACTACTTAATTAATACTAAGGCTATGTTTGTGAAAAGAAAAGTAAAAAACTGTACGCTTTTATAAAGTTAGTTTTAAAATTCATACTAAAATAGTTCAAACAAATGTTCTATTGAGTCATTGGCCCAATTGTGATATTTGTCAAACATTTCGTTCAACGGATATAAGAAATTCGGTGTTATTTGTTCAGTTGTTACAAATCCGCGTGCTCATTTCGTCTACGGCCTACATCATGTTTTCTGACTTTCTCTTCGATTGCTCAATATTTTTCATCTATTGTCTTTGTCAAATATTCAGATCAGACAAATTTTTAGGGTTCGTTTAAAAGTATGTTAGCAATTGGTCATCAATAGCTAATTTAACCTAATTTCTTGTATAACTGCTTGAGAATAAACTGTTAATTTCAATATAAAGGAAAGAAAACAAGAATTATGCCTTAGGACCCACACTTATTCGAAACTGGGTTTTTTTTTATAAGAGAAGGGGGCAAACGAGCGGCGGGAACACCGGTGATCAACGACACCCATGGAAATGGTATGCTCGCTTCTTGAAGGTCCCTAAGTCTTATTGGTTTGGAAATACCGCCGAGGACAGACCGTTCCACAACGCACCGTTGTGGAATGCCAGCCATCAGCCAGCTGGTGTGAATGGAACCTGGCGGTCTGTCGTGTCGTCCGATGACGGAACTCGGTGGCAGGAATCGTTCCAAACAGTTCTTCGGAACTAGGTCTAAGGACAGTGGACACGTCTAGCGAATTTATGTAGCCGCTCGTTTGCCAACTACAAATAAAAAAAACTTGACGCGTGTTTTTGTGTGGTCGTATATTATATTCGTGCAACAGCTAATGCTGTTCTGGATTTTTAACTGCACCACACACAGTTGTTAAGTGGTCTTCTTTAGTGTAGATTTATTGTCAACTACACAAGGGTCCATGCTCGTGAATATCGAGAAGACCAGAGGAATTACAGATGCATTGCCTGCATAGTCTCTATTAAAGAACACTAAGTCCTAATTGCTTTATCAATTAATACTCTGAGTACAGAAGTCACACACTACACTGATATAGTTTTCTCACCTGTATATTAGTTTTCTTCTGACAGATCTTTTGAAGAATCCACTGCAGCCATTGCACGCGAGAATTCCATAGTGCTTGCCGGAGCTAGTGTCGCCGCATACCACGCACACCAAACCTGAAACCATAATAATTAAACAAGTCTTCTACGTAGGAAGTAGACAGACAAACAGCAAACTGAAGGAATCAGGTTTGAATTAAGTTAAATAAAATCTTTTATTGTATTGGAGGGAAGCATCGCATGTGGCAAGGAGAACGTTAACTTTGAGTGTGGAGAGGTACACAGGTAGATGTAGACCTAGGAAAAGATGGATGGATTGTGAAAGGTGACATGATTAAGAAAGGAGTAACCACTGAGATGAGGGCAGGTAAATCAATTTGGAGGATGAAAATCGGCACGCCGACCCTACGTAAGTGGGACCAAATCTGGGAGATGATGATGAGAATCTTTTATTGTAAAAAGCAAAGAAAAAGCGTGACAGCTTTTCTAGTTCCCTGATCAAGTTATGAAATTTGCTCAATATGACGCGGACCTGTCTTACCCAGGTGGTTGGTCTTCTTGTGCGGTGGGTCAGGTAACCAGGGACGTAGAGCCGGTGGCGCTAGAGCGGCAGCGACCAGTGCTGATGTCGGTGGTGACCAGCGGAGTGATGTATTGTCATCTACTGGAACAATGATTAACAAACTCCTGAGTTATTCGGATAAACAAAACAATTGACAGTCGCTCTTTATCTAAACTTTGAGGAATATGAAGGATATAAAACTTAACTCATAAAAATCGATAATTTAGGCTTAAGAGAATGTTTACCCGACTTATGTAAGTAAGAGGTAAAATGACTTCACTCTTGTTGGTTCCCGTGATCGTAACTAAAAATAGTGTTATCTCTGTGTATCAAAGATAATGAGAGAGATGACGATATGTTTTATACAGGGATTTTGGTATCGGAAACCCATGGTATGCCAATGGAGCTATGACCTTGACAAATTTTATTCTTGTAAGTTTACTAAAATTTTAATAGATTTTTTTTAATGTAAAATATTAGCAGATTTTTTGTAAATTTACTAATATTTCTTTTACCATTCCAACTAAGCTCTAGGCTTGTGCTAGGATATGGTTTACGACAATAGTCGAATGGCGGGATTCGAACTCCGACCTCGTGATCGGAAATCCGTACCCTTAATCTTTAGTCTATTGACGCTTTAATGTTTGGCGATTTGACGATTGTTTGGATATTTCGTGTTGTTGGTCTGAAATATGAATAGGTGATTGTACAAATGTGTTTACAGCATGTTTTAAAAATATTTAAATAAATAACACAGCGGTACGTGAGTAGTTGAACTAAATATTTCACTAATAAATCTCAATGAAGCTAATAAAATAACTATTGCAAATCACACCCTTTCATTTTAATAGCATTTCCATTTAATACGAGGGTTGGATTACCAATGTTTACGGTTGAAAATGAACTTTATCACAATGTTTTTAAGGTTTATAATATATTGTATGTAATTGTTGGTAGTAATATGACGAATCAATTAATATATTGTCGGTCGACAGTGGGCGCAAAATCTAATAGGATTCGATATGGATTAAGCAATTGTAGTTAACCAGCACGGGTTCGCGAAGCCGTTTAATATTACTCACGACTTTTAACTTAATATATCTAACTACTATCGCTATCAATAAACAATCTTGAACAATTTTTGCATATTTGCGGGCTACTGAGGGCCTGGCATGAATATTTGTGGCAATAGCCTTCGTATCGTTATTGTTGTACAGTCAGCTGCAAAAATATCGCAGCAAACAAGATATCCAGATATATAGGAAGTCCTAAAGTAATCTTACCAATATTATAAATGCGAATGGTTGTATGGATCTCGATGAAATTTAACATGAATGTAGAACATAGTGTAGAAGAATACATAGGCATACATAGGCAATAATTAAGTGTTTTTTTTTAATACCGCGCGGAAGAAGTCGCGGGCACAGCTAGTGATAATAGTTAAAACCTAACGATATTCAGTACTTTATTTAAATTAGCAATATCACGTAATTCCCGTAAATTAAATAGCACAAAATAACAGTTATATAATAGCGTTATAAATAGCAGTCGTAAATAGCGGGGGCGTCGCGAAAATACGAAGGACATAAAAAGGAAATTGTATAGGAGACATAAAAAGTTTTGTGAGAGGAAATTGGAAGTCAGAGGCGAGGCGGCCGACTGAATCCCGGTATTGAGATAAATCAATGTTTGTTTGAGAGTACGGCACTTATTGTGGCACAGGGAAAACTATGGAGACGAACAATTTATCACTAGTATTGTTTTTACTATCCATGTGTCACATACGTATAAATTAGTAAATTTCGTAATGACTGTCAATAATTTAAGTTTCAATTAAGACTAGCAGGTTCACGATAATTGCGGCTGAATTGTTTTTTAAGAGATCTTTTTTGTAGCAAGAACAAGTACATATAATTAGTAAGTTGTATTCAATTGAATTTGAATACCGCAATATGATTATTAATATAAAACATATCCAAATACAAGCGTAGAGCTTAGTTTGGTTGGGTACAATATATGTAGCTCCTATTGTTTCAATAAAAAAAAGGTTGCGACTCCACTGTTTTTATTGTTCGTTCGCAAGTGGAAACTTTGTCGCTTGCCGTTTTATTTGGTTTTCTTTTGACGCGCCGAGCCCTTGAGCCTCTCTGATTAATTTCAATTCCTTCTCGCACCCTACACCGCAGCTAAATGCTTTCCTAGCGGTATCTTATTGGGAAAGCTTTGGATACTGTTATATAGCTGACTAGCAGTTGCCCGCAACTTCGTAGGCGTGGAATTAAAAAAAACTCAATAATTAGCTTATGTGTTTTCCAGACTGTGTTTTATATCAGTGCCAATCGTGCCGGAGATACCTTCCAACATCATTCTTAACTTTTGCTTTTACAATATTAGTAAGATAAGTTACGTTGTAGAGAGAATATGTTTTCGATTTCCGATTTACATATGTACATTTATCCGACGTTCTTACGGTGAAGGAAAACATCGTAATGCAACCTGCACATATCTGAGAAGAAATTCAAATATGTGTGAAGTCAACCAACCCCACTGGGCCAGCGTGGTTGACTATGGCCTAATCACCCTTGATTTAGGGTAGGCTCCGAGCCCCTCGGTGGGAACGTATAGTGAGCTGATGAGCGATGTTACGTTGTAAGAGCTGTTCAGGCCTTCGTATATTTTAGTTTGTGCCTATGCCCTAGAAGATGCGATGGCTATTTTTGCATATCGCTTACACTCCTTATATACGTCTCTTTTATTCTCTTTTAAATCTTTATCATTTTCATCAATACCCTGCCTTCTTTTCATTCTAAGCCACACATCTTTACCTACTCCATCAAAAAATTTTCCCTATCAATTTTACTTTACATTTTATTTCTCCTAGCACTTTCAATTGTAAAATGTATGGATGTTAATATTTTTTTATAAAAGTATTGTTAGTTGTTAACTTGTAAGTATAAGTAACACATATGTAGCTTTGAACACAGCCTATCATCAAGGAATTTTAGTTTAGGTAAAGCACGCGGAGGTGCGTCAATAGATTTTTGTTCTTGTGATTTTTATATAATATTTATGAAGAAAACCATCAAGCATCAGATGTGCTGGTTTTCACCGACACATTCACGTTGTTTTTTAATGTTACGGCAATGAAACTGTGAATTATATTTTTCTTTTTACTAAACCGACTTTGATATATAAACACGGCTAAACACGCCGCTCGCTCTTGACGGGCCGCGTCCGCGAAATAATACCAGTACCACTCATCCTGATGAAGGGCCCCCGATGGGCTCGAAACTAGTCGGTGCCGCCACCGGACGAATATACGTGAGTGTTCCGTTCAGTTTGGATCCGTGAGAGCCAGTTCAGTTCAGTTTGGTATAATGTCTCACGAAAGTTTGAATAATTTAAACCGACTTTATTGAAGTCTACAATACGAGTATAACAGAACGCATGAGACAGTAAGCTCAAGAATTCTATTTCTAACCTTTGCTCGAAACTCAGCAGTATTTAATTTAAAAAAAAACCTTTCCTAGATTAAACTGGTTTACCCGTAAAAAACAACCTTCAAATACCCATATTAAGTTAGAATTAAAAAATATATAATATCACTATTATATATATATATTATATTATTATATTTGTTAGAAGGTATCTCCGAGAACAGCTGCATGGATCTCGCTGAAATTTTGCATACATATAGAACATAGTTTAGATGAACTAGGCTACTTTTTTTAATTATTCGGAAGGAATCGCGGGCGATAGCTTGTAATATTATAAAAGCGAAAGGACGGATGAATGGATAAATTTTTTTTTCATTCCACGCAAAGTCGCGGTCGACAGCTAGTCATTAAATAAATTCTGTAATAAACTGTGCTACGAGTAAATATAAGTATGCCTTAAAATGTACAAAACTGAATTTCTTGTTTATATCATGTTTTTTTTTCAATATTTTAATGTCGTCCCCACATTAGTATTCATCGCGCGACTGCCAGTAACTCGGGCTCTATTTGACTGATTTTCAGCCACTCCATGATTTGCCACTTCACCCGGTCAGAACGTGATTTGACTGAAACATGAGGGGGATTTGTGAAATAGTCCAATTTCGTATATAACTTGTTTATACTGTAATATTATTATCTTTGTTTTGTAATCAATGTTTTTTTTAATATGGTAATACTGTTCGACAGACAAAAATGCATAATGGCATAGATGTATGTATAAAAATACTAGATGCCGCCCGCGATACCGTCCGCGCGAAGTTAAAATAAAAAAAAACTGAATTATTTGACTACCAGTTCTTCCAGACTATATTCTACATCTGTGCCAAATTTCATCAAGATCCATTGAGCCGTTCTGGAGATACTTTCAAACAAACATCCATCCATCCATTTTACTAAACTGCCGCATTTGTATTATATTATAATTTTAATAAGACTTCTATATATAGATACCTAATCTGGAATATAAAAGTAGGCATAGTTAATCCAATGGTTAACTTCCTTAATCATCATCACCAGCTCTCGTCTAAACTGAGGGGATCGGAGCCTACCCTAAGTTAGTAACTAGGC